TGTCTCATGCGTGCACCTATTTTCCCAAGGGCAATAAATAAAAAATAAAAAATAAAAAAGCCATACCTTTAATCTAGTGACAGTAAACTTTTTTTAAAGTGGAAAGTTACGGGCTCAATCCCACTTAATCTCAAGCCATTAGTACCTATCCCACTAATTAAAAATAAAAAAGATGTGTGCTGTAGAAATGTGAGAAATAAAATGCTGTTCATGTCACAATAGATTGCGAATGAAAAGCATTTTTTAAAAAGAATAAAAATAAAATTATGTTACAATAGGTCTTTCAGTGGAATTATAATTTCTATGGTATTTCACGGTAAATATTACTTAACTGCATCTTCAGTGGAATTCTCGACAATATTAACCGTGCGTTCTTTGGTCTTATGTTTTATTTCACAAAAGGGTTCACCATGGTCCCTTTTGTGCCTCAAGCGTTGCGGGAAATTAATTTTGAAGGAAGGATCGTATTGGCTAATATATTATCTTTCGTCATGAAAAAGATAATACAATATATTAAAAATTAAAAATATAAGAAAAACAGTAAATGTGAACATGTAATCAATGATATATATATATATATAATTTTTCATAAAAAAACAAACTTAAAGTTATTTATAAATCTTGTGATTGAAAAAGTCAACACACAGAAAAGTCTCAAGTCTTGAATTTAACCTTGGTTGATACGTGTTAGATGAATACACACACATCCTAGCATATATGTGGAGGGGTGATGTGGTCTCACATGACACATGAATTATTAATTAATAATTAATTTTAAGTTTTCTGCTAATTTAATGAGAAAATAACTTGTTTCTCGTTAAAATTAATGAGCTTTTTTTTAGCAATAAAAATAGTCAGGAAGTTTATTCCTCACTGATTCCAGATTGACGAGGAAAAATAGTCCTTTAGGGAGGATCTTGTAATTTCTAGCAGTGTATTTTTGTAAACTTGATTATTATGACGTGGATATAGACCCAAAAAATGATAGTTTATCTCCATGACATATCCTAAATTTATCTTATGGAAATAAAAAATTAAAATATCTACAATAGATGACAAACAAGGTAAGATTGATAAAGAAAAATATAACAATAACAATATGCTTTATAACGCTAAGTGAGTCTAGTCATGTAGCATGACATCATTGTATCAGGTCAAAAATTGACTCTCCAGATTTATCAGAATTGGAGTTACCATCACTTCACTGGAGCCTATTTGTAAACATATAAACCCAAGTTTAAGTTTTAATATATGGAATATTAATGCCTATTTTGTTAGCATCACCAACACATACACACGAACACATTCTTATCATTTCCTACACATTTCAACTCTGACTCTTGAAATGCTTTATCCTCCAATCCAAGTGCCCCCCCGCCCTTTTTCTCCCCCCAGTCCCTTCTATAATAATCAATCTTTATATCTATCTATATTATAATAATATGAAATCTAGAAATCATTAGTTTTTTAAAAAAATTTAACAAAAATATATACATTTGTAGTTGGATCAAACTATTTATTCCCAGTTTAGGAGGAAAGATTCTCTCAACTTGTCTTCCCAACTCTCATCCTTTTTCTTTTTTCTTTTTATCAGTCTCATCCATTTTCTTTTCTAACTATTAAATCAAAATTTGATTGCTTGTAAAATTATTATTATTAAGACATTAAATTGTAAAAAAATAAATAATCAAATTCTAACTGCTGAAATTTTATGAAAGATCAAACATAAATTGTTCAAAATGTTGATATATCTTTGGTTATATAAAAGGAAGAGGATTGGATAGAAAGATGAAGGAATCCTCTCCATGATTATGTAGTGTAGGTGAGAAAAGTGGGGGGGAAAGTTAGGGCAAAGTTATATTTACCCCTCTGGGCTCTAAAAAAGGGGAAAAAGAGGAAATTAGGAGGAAAATACGAGATTCACATGGTTTATCCTCTAACTTTTCTTTCAAAAAATTGAGAGATTTTTGAGAGAAAACTCCAATTTTTTCGTCAAAGAGAAAACCCCAATTCCAATTTTACTTAAGAATGTTTTTTTCCCGTCGCCTCCTACGTTCCTCCGTTTTCATTCTTATATTTGATTGTAGTTTAAAATTTGTACGTTATTGTATATTTAATAATTTTATAAATAAAATTAAAAATTAGATAAAATAATTTGCAATTATTTTTTTCTACAAATCATAAAATTATTATTATTCATGTGAAATCAACAACTTTTCCCTCTTTGTTGTTTTCTCTTATTCGACTAACTATAATTAAGGAGAGGAAATTACATCCTTAACTTTTTTCTCCTCTATATTTTTTCTTATCAACCAAAGCACTATGTAAGTTTTGACTTTTGATTTACTAATTATTATTCTGATCCTATTTATAAGTCACTTTAAATATATTTTATTGAAACTAAAAAAAACTTTAAATCTCATTAATTTTATTTTTAAATTTAATAAGTTAAAGTAGTATATTAAAATTTAATATACTATTGTTAGGCAACGTGATGGAGAGGAGTAAGAAGCGATGAGTGTGCCCATATATACTACTTTTATGATTAGGGAGAATAATAGTTCAGTTCCACAAGAAAAAATTAATGATAGTTAGGTTTTTGATAATTTTTTTTAAAAAATTAGTTGTAAATATCAATTCAAATATATACAAATTTAAAAGTTTGAATTATAAATATGATATTTAAATTTTAAATATAACAATTATTTTGTAGTTTGAATTTCTATTTATAATTATTTGAATTGATATTTATAATTTGTTTTATAAAAAATTTTATCAAAAATTTAACTATCATTAATTCATCTTCCTGTATTATTATTTTCTCTTAAGACTACGGTCTCGTTTTTCCTTACTCTTCCCATTCCTCTTCTGCGCTGTTAGTCCCACTTTTATGATCGACCAAACTCATTAGGAGAAAGATCCTTTCCTAGATATTCTGATTATTATGATTAATTAAATAATTTGCCTTCTTTGATACGTAATTTACAACATATTCTAATCACTAACTACTTATGTATTACTAATAACAATCTTTTTTAATAACAACATAATTTAACAAGTGCAAACTCATTGTGTGTGTGTAATATCATGAATTTTTGGCCTAGGAGCCCAAGAATATGCTTGAATTCAGCAAGTTATTGAGCTCAAGTAATTGAGAGTTCTAAAGATACCCTAAAAAAGATAGGATGGTTCTTAAGAACCAAATTTTAATTTTACAGACTTTTTAGGCAAAAGTATAATATTTTAAGAGATTTCGAGTACAGTTTAAATAGTCATAAAAAACAATAGAAAATATTACCAAAATCAATATAAGCTCTATCAAAATATTCTCAAAACTCGGTTAATATTTCATTTTAATTTTCCATAAACCATTTGGATAATCCTTTAGGGTCTTCAACTTCATAAATTCATTGGGCATTCTCTAATTCTCTTAGTGCCCTAGAATTTGAGCCAACTGAACTGCTCTCCTTTGAATCCTCCTCTTTCGGATTCTCTTCTTGTACTAACTCTATATTAAACCCTACTAATCTAGGATTTCTTCTAATATGTTCCTCCCCAGATAGTCTTTGCCTTGAATTGTTTCTGTCACTGACATCATCATCAGTAGGTGTTCTCACTTGGTAGCTTTCTCCTAATGTAGACTTTGAGTTACTCTCTTGAGAATTTTCAGTACTCATATTTTTCCTGCAAGATATTCTTATCAATTCCAAAATGTTTAAACATAACATCAATCACTTGAAAGTATTCACTTTATGTATATAATTTTGTTTGAAAAATTCTCATTGATGAGCATTAGATTCTCTTTACCAATACCAGAACCTAATGCTCTGACACCAAAGGTGCAACACCTCATATATTTTCACTCCTCTAAAGAGCAAGTACTTATAAGGATAATTTATTAAACCTTGATGATCATCAAGTACCAAAGATCAAAAAGAGAAAAATGCTAATTTGATTTTTAAGCACACAAAATTTTTCATCAATTTTCAAAATTCATAACTAATTCTATAAAAATCATATTGTGGTGATTCAACTCTCTAAATGAAGCTTATTAAGTCCTCTTCAAGAGAAAAATAATCCCTGACTTGACACATCCATCTATATTTATTGACGAATTTACGATTCTCACTGCTATAGTTATTTTCAGAAAATTTTTCAGTTTTAGTAGGTCAAGGATATAGTTTTTTAGAGTTGTTATCATATGTATAAAAAATATTTGACTTAACTTTAAATATTTTTCAAATTTCTTAAAATATTTAATAATTTCAAATGATTTCTGATATTTTCATGCAATGTAAGTATTTAATAGAATTTTATTCTACATATTAAACAAATTAATACACTATTAGTAGAAAACTTTTATTTAAATCTGGCCCCCTCCGCACAGAACATGGACAGCACCGAGAGGAAGGGAGAGGGGGGGGGGTGGGGAATGAAGAGGGGAGAGAGAGAGGAAAATAGGAGAATCAAGAGGTGAGAGAAAGTTAATATTTTATTTAAAAATGCAACGTAAACCCCAGTACCCAACCAATAGTGAAATCACGGCAAGAAAATATCACCAAATAGCTCCAGGTGGCAATTCTGAGCTCTGACATTTCGTAGGACATTGTATCGACCGGTGATCAAACGGACAGGATTCCTTGTTTATATATATTGTCCAATTGCTGGCCATTGTACACGCGCGCGCTACTTGTCCGATGAATAATGTTGTAACAGAGCCTATATGATCCTTAAATATATATATATATATATATATATATATATATGTTTCTAAATTAATTCACATCAAATCAAGGTAAAAACAATATGAAGCACGCTTATACAACATGCAGCAACACACACACACACAACATATATATGAGACCAAAACGTAAAATTCAGAAAACCAGCTAATCTGCCTAGCTCTGTCAACATGGCCACTACGTGAGACCCCTCGATCTCCACTCTCTTTTCACTGAACAGCAAAGGTCTCCGCACGCGCAGCAAATTAACAATTTCCTTTAACCCCCACCTCCACATCCGCCTCCGCCACATCCTCCGCCACATCCGCCGCCGTCGCCGCCGTCCCCATCACCTCCGCCACAGCCGCCACATCCGCAGTCATCACCTCCGCCACAGCCACCACAGCCGCAGTCATCACCTCCGCCGCGGCGTTCGTACCCTTTTTTTCGAGTGCTGGGGGAGTTATCGCCACAAGAAAATATGACCATCGAGATAACTGAGATGGACACGACAATCATCGCTAATAGCATTAAGGTTCCAGAAAAAGAGCCATTCATGATGCTGCTCATAATTTTATCTTCATTTCCGCCACCAAAGGCAACGACATCTCTCGCCATATCTTTCCGATCTTCACGGCTACCGAAGAACCCCACTTGTATTTTAAATTATATTGCTAATTTATCTGCAAATCGCAATGTGTGGGTCTGTGTGTCTCTTCTCTCTCCAATATATTATACACTAAAAGGCCCACGCACGCACGCACAGCGTGGCTGTGTATGGACTTAGGTTTGGTGCCTGACTCTTCACGCAATTCCTAAAAATTTCGAAGAAGTTGCATAAGATCAGGTATTTATTTTTCAACATAAAAGAATAGTCAGACTTCTACATGCATGTTTGAACAGTTTGGGGTGGCGCAAGCACTACCTAAAACAAGCCTGTATGTCTTTTCATTGGCTGCGGAATTTGAAAAATAAAAGTACTGCATTTTTATTAGTATTATCTTTGGAATTTTCTCTCTTGATCTGTACAACTATTAACTTGGCTTAGAGGCTATCTCAAAAGAAAACTTGTATGCCTATGTTGGCTTCAGAAATTTAAAAAAAAAAAAAAACAATACAAGTCTTGCATTTGTATTACTATTATCTTCGGAATTTTCATCTTGACCTGCACAACTTCTCCAGCTTTGCTTTAGTGGTAAAACTGAGTTTTAAATTACTGTGGGAATTATTGACAAATCAGACCGGAAAAGAAGGTGAAAAGTTTTGAAGTTTTGCCTTTGTAACGGTGGGCCCCGCGATGCGTTCATGGACTTTGGTGGATTAGCCATTGTACGAGGATGTTTAGGATATTAGAAAATAATAGACACACACACATGAGAAATATATGTGGAGGAAGAGAATTAACTAGGCACCAACACGAAGCAATATAGTACGACAAATCAAAAAGAAGAATAATCTCAAACATAAAATTTAGCTAGGTAATTAAGTAGGGCAAATTATTAACTATGTTGTTGTCCACCACCTCATCCTCCTTTCTCCTTGTTTGCACCCAAATTATAAATTTAAAAGACTGAACTTAACTCAACTTAATTGACTTTAAAATAATTAAAAAAATATTTATAAAGCTTTAGCTATTAAGTCAAGACTATTCACACTCCACCCATGATGAATGACCATGATGGAGGAAGTGTTTCTTAAATTCAATGAAAGTTGTGATCATGAGACTTGAGCACCAAGTTAGGATCATCTATAAATAAATAAGCCCTTTCTCAATAAGAATTATCATCAACATCAACAAACTACTAGTCTTAGACTCCATGTCTACTACTTTATTTTATTTTTTCTTTTATCATGTAGTTTTTAGTCTTTATTTTTTTCATTATACGGCCGACATAGCTTGCAGCTCTTTCTTTAGTCAATATATCTTTGCTTCCTTGCATCTACATTATTTTTCTTCACTTTGCATTCTCACATTCGGGTAAATTGTGGTAAGGGAGCCTGGGTTCCCTGCGTTTGATTAGAAGTTAAGTTCTTTCATTCTTTTGAAACCCCGTGTTTCTGGCACACCTTGCGACAATCCCCTTTTATTTTTGCCTTGTGTGAACAAAATGCCTAGGACACGTAAGGATCAACATGTTGTTAGAAAAAATAGACCTGAGTCTTATGATCTGAGAATGTGGCTGCAGATGCAAAACGTGAAGTATGAACTAACGAGAGGCTAAGAACTCTGTTGCAAACTCTGAAGGATGGGCTAAGAAACATCTCTGCTATGCTGTCTAGACCGTTGCAGGAGCAAGCTCTAATTAACTTGAACTTTTAAAGAATATATAGACTCGGGGGCAGTCTCCCAATATGCCCTTTGACCAGAAAATCAATAACGAGGACTGCTATAACATCCCTCAAAGGATCAATGACGAGTCTAATTCAATAGTTAACCTGTTTGGCCATGTCACACCTTAGTATTTAGGGTATGACCAACACGGCATTTGAGATAGACTCACATTCCACAAGCCTCAAATAACTAGAAAATTAATTTAAAATGACAATATAATTTACATCTAAATTTAAAATTCATAAAGTTTTAACTATTTTATAAAAATTTCGGCAGAGTCTTCCTCGTAATAAGGACCTCCCCAAAATTTCTATGATGATAAAAACCTATCAACCAAACCAGAAAGGGAGTTTAACTCCACACTAGGAGATTTTACAATGACAAAATAAGACTAAGACCTAATTACAGTATACGTGAAACGCTAAGTTAATATTTCATAATACAAAATATATTTACATCAAAACTAACTAATGCATACTTCCATAGTTTCGAAAAGCAATGGTGTCCCTCAATGATCAGCAGGAGGTACATGGTCAATTATAAATATACAAAAATAATCAATTAAAAATAATGCAAACCATGAATACATAAATAAAAATAAAAATTTATAAATCTTAAATTTCCTTTCTCTCTATTTTTTCCTACAAATAGTTAAACATCTTGGGATATGTATATTGCAAAATAAAATTCTTATATAGTAAAAATAATAGTTTGCTTTCTGAGATCAAATTTAAAGAAAATGGTTTCAAAATTCTGTTTTTAGCGGGACTTAATCAGATCGATTAACAAGCGTGAACACATAGTCTACGAGGGTAAATAACCAATAAGTGTGGACACACAGTCCATGAGGATAAATCACTAATAAGCGCGGCTTAAAGCCACAAAATAATCAAGCGTGGTTAAAAGCCATGAAACAAACACAAGTACTACGCCCACAAAATAAACGTAAGTACAATGCTCATGAATATCCATCCTTCCGTTTCACATGCATTGGCCTATCTACAGGGCTAACATCTCCTATAAGCACCTTGCTAGCTAGGTGTATCATGACGCGCTTAGGGCAAACGGAAATGCCATTAGCATCTAGTGTTCTAAACTCAGTCCCCTAATTAAATCAAAGGGGTGTGGAGTTGAAACATTCATGTAAAACCATTTCTTTCAAAATATAATATTTAGTTATCAAATTCTTTTCAATTTTTCTCCATCCACGAATCACCAAGTTAACCACTGTCATATAAATTATAAAATTTAAACAACAGAAATGCTTAGAATAAATAATTGGTTAATAATGTACCGGATCAAAATATTTCTTAACAATAGCATAATTATTAATGAAAATAAAACAAATTCTGTAATGAAACAATTAAGACAAAAATGAAGTAAGTAAGAAAATTGTATAAATCATAAAAATAGAATTAACAAGAATATTTATACAACTTATAAAGGAATAATATAAAAATTTAAATAAAAAATTTTATAAACACTTTGCAAGAAATTATTTGGGACACTATCCACTTACCTTTTACATTTTCAAGTACCTTTATATCTTACTTCCTTTTAAGCTTCCCATTTACACTTCGATGGTACCGCTATTTACCTAATCAAACAAACCAACAAGCTAATAATACTAAACTTCCCATGCTACAACTCCATCTATGTATGCTTTATTTAAATATTCAAAAAGATTTTCAAAACCTTATTCATTCTTAATTCAACCGTCTCAAACCATGATCTCTTCTAATTTCTTTAAATCTGATAGTAATAACTCCAATAATTCACTGGCTATGCAATTTTCAATTAGTTTTGCAAAATATAAAAGATCTTGATTCTAAAGGCATAGTATTTACTCAATTGTTTTATAGTTCTTTTATTACACATTACATTTAACACCTAACGTGCATCCCAAAATTAAATCACAAGACAACGCAATAATTTATAGATTATCAAACATAAATTCTCAAGAATTCAATTAATTTCTCAATAACATAGATAAGTTCTTTCATGATATTCAATTTAAATTCATAAATGAGTAACACCCAAGTCAATTCATGCTTTTTGAGGGACCTGACGAAGTTATGGAAAAATACCTATTTGAGTATCTTCTCCAACAATACATTCATCAGCACCAAACTCCTTAAGTTATTTGTGATCAAGCTTCAACAACTCACTAGATACATTTCCACTCAATGAATGACAAACTTTAAAAAGAGAATTGTTTAACATTCACTTCCCCCATGTACAAGGCAACTTTGAACTTAATCACTAAAATCTATCATTCTTTCTTTTCAAGCATGTGTCAAGTTCAATTTAGTAATCCAAGCTTTCCTCCACAATATATATATATATATATATATATATATTCAAGCAACATTTGTACCTTTCTAAGTTTTTAACATGGAGATTTCATAACCTAAATCCAAGTTTCAGTTATTAATAAAAGTAATATGCTTGCTTATTCTATTTCAACCAAATTCCTCTTTGTAACATTTTAGCAAATACCTTATGAGCAACTCCATTCACACCTTCTGAGCAACTCCATTTACACTATATTACAAAGCCCCTTCCTCTTCAAATCCCTTACCAATATCCATTATCAATTCTCAATTTTTTTTTTCAAGCATCTCGAATCTCACCCCTCATACAGTCAAAAATTGAACTCTGACACAACATCACAGGAAACTCACTTCTGTTTGATAATAATCGAATGCTTAGGGCAAAACTACTTACCTTAATGAGCTTCCTAATCTTCAATTTATGCTTGCTCGGATCCCCCCCCCCACCTATACCTCACGCACAGCAGCTCCAGACAGCAACAAGCCAAAGATAGAAACAGGGAGAAGAAGACATTGCAGATCGGACATGGAGGAGGAAGAAGGATGTCCGACGCAACCCAAACCACGGCAAGTATAGAGAAAGAAGAAAACTCCCATTCAGAACCCACACACACCACGCCAGCACCAAGGAAAGAAAAAGACATAGAAATATGAAGCAATAGTGGAAATCACAGCAGACTCACAGTGGCAAAGAGATGAGCAGAAACGGTGAGGTTCAGAGCAGAGAAGAACGTTGACAGCAAGGAGAGCAGTCCGACGGTGAGAGAGGAATTCGACGGTGGGAGAGGAGAGGAGCAATATGTCGGTGAAGAGGAAAGAAGAGAGAAAGAAGGAAAAAATAATAATAATGATAATAATAATAATCGTATGCTCTGTAATTCGAACGGCAGAAGAGAAAAAATCTGGAAAAAAAGAGAAATTGAGAAAATTACAAGAAAGGACATTAGAAAATT